TGAAATTGAAAAAAACTCTGGAGAAGAGCAGAGTTAGTGAAATCCTTAATAATTTACAGCTTTTCATGTGTAGTAGGAAATAGATTATAGAACTAAAATGTTTATAGGATATGAAAGTCACTTCACCTGGGAGATGACAGGTGAAAAAAAGATGACTAAAGGTCTACCAAACCAGATGAGCAATGCCCTAAATGCTAAACACGGAGGCCAGTGAAGCCCACTAGAATTCTGAATTGTATCCATTAGATTCAGCTGGAAACCATTGGAGCTGTGCTTTTGTTGAATCAGGGGAAGCCCTAGGTAAGTATATTAGAGATGACTCAGATGAGTGGTTCTGAACTGAAGCAATTTCTAAACGACAGAGATGACAAAGACAACCATATCATCAAACTTCGGATGAAATACAGAATAAACAGGAAAAACTTTGTTTCCACTTCAATTAAGATGGTATTCAGGCTTACTGTAATTAGTCCATTTTTTCTAATTTAACTATTGCTATCAAACTATTTAGCTTATTAAGAACCACAAAACATCATAGATGTACATAACTGCCTAACAGTTGCAACACAGTTCATTAGGTACATACAGTCAAGCTTTTCTCTCACAGGAACCAGAGACCAGTAATCACCCTTCCATTAATTCAGGGGTCTCTTTCAGAAGAACAGTAGCAAACTATTCACATACTAAAATACGCTGAGAACTTACCCTCCTAGAACAGCATCTCCTCTATATGCATGTTGAGGAACTACTACACCAAAAAAGCGTACTATAACTTTTTTCTGAAATGCTGATTTTGTTAAACATTAAGCAAAGCTGTATGGTATTTTCATGCTGGAACTAAAGAAAGTAAATCCAGTGCCTAGAATCAAAAAACACATGACTATTATTATGTCCTAATCACTATCTCCTGAATGCCATTAGGCAAGTTATCTTTTAGTGAAAGTGGTAAGGTCAATATGAGCGTATGTTTGGTCTTATCTGATCATTTGCCTTAACCACCCTATGATTTTTTTTATGCTACACACCCTGTAATTATTTTCTGTTATTCTCCACCTGCACTTCTATTCCCATATTTCATAAAACAGTAAATAATCACTTCATGTGACTGTAGAAATTAGAGCATCTGACCAGAACGAATGAGCCACGGGATACTTTTTGCTACCGTAAGTAAAGATATGTTGTTTGAAGTTTTAATACAACTAAAAAAGCAAAAATATTCTGTTTACAAAATGAACAGTTTTCTTAAAGGAGAGTTAAATAGTTAACACTTCAAAACTCACAGCTAATGAAAGCTTCTAAAGACCATCTCCACATCAGTCAGAAAATTCAGGGCTTCATAATCACAAAAGTGAGTAAAAACAAAGTTCCTAAGCAAGATAAGAACAAGCTGAGTGGATAAAGAAGGGAAATGAACAACAACCAAGTCAAAAGACTTCATTTAAAAAATGTCCTTTAATACAAATCTGAATACAAAAATAACAAAAACACCCTACAGTCATCGCAAACAAATCCTCAAAGTTTTCTCTCATCAGTTGCCCGACAATTTGGCAAGTGCTTGTCTTCTCTGTTCTGCAGTCATATACTCAGAGGCTTCCAAAATATTCACTATAATTAAAGTCTGTTGAACTGTTTTTGCTTTTACCCATATTCTTCCATTCATTCCCAGCACCATCTCAAATGGGTATAATTGTGACAACTCCTGAATTATTTCACATTTGGGAGCCAAGAGTCTGTAAATAAAAACAAAACAAAGTCAGAGGAAGAAGTGCTTACGTTTACAGACACCACATTGTTATCATCAGTAACACCAACTGCTGTTATGGCAGCTACTAAAGCAACACCAAAAGGTAAGATGATCAAGTTGAATATACATTCAAAACAGTAACACAGTATCAATATATTCACCTAAAAAATACAAGAATTGTGAATTGAGCAGGGTTTTTTCCTAATTAAGATTTGGACCTGACCAAATTTAAATAAATTGATAGTGTTATAGGAATTGTATGATTTAATAAAGTCTAAAATTACACTCTTTGACAAAGTGACATTCTTAAAGTGCTGCTATTTATAAATTTGATGCCCAAGAGGCATCTGTCAAAACAGGACTTCCTTCCTACTTCAGGAGACAATATTAACAGCAGTGAACAGACTACTTTATTAGCTGGTAGCATACTGAAAAAAGAAATTCTCAAGAATACTGGAATATGTCTAGGATTAAATCAAGCTTGAACAGCTTCATAAAGACGAAAAACATATCAGGATTTACCAGTTTACTTGTAATATACTCTTATTGCTTTACTTACATACAGACAAAATTGGAAAACAAAGAGAATGGCTGCAAAAAGTCTTTGTATCAGTTCACACTGACTTCTGATGAGACATATAAACCAAACAAATAATTACAGGTGTGAACACTGGCTCTACATCTCCACATTGCTTATTCAAAGAACAATACTAAACAAGAAAAACCCATCCAAAAGGCAACAAAAAAGCTTAACTATAATTTATCCATATAATAATCTGGTATTTCTTGATAGTCACAAAAAATCTTGTCTTTACATCAGGATGAGAACCTCCAGACTCCTTTAATCAGCTGTCAGCAAAATATACATCCCCACTATTCCATTAAGCAGAAAAAGTAGAGTAAGCATTTCCATTTTTTAAAGTCCAAGGTAGTCTGTACATACCTGAAGCACTATCCTGAATGTTTGATTTTGGAAAATAAAGCTAGCTAGGACACTAGCTTTATTTCCCATACTGCCTTGGCAACCATGTGACTCTTTTTTAAACAGGTCATGCAACACCATATAGAAAAGCATCTAAATCTCTTAAGAGGACAAATAAATGCTTCTTCTAGGTCAATATTTATATTCAGCACAACTGGTATAAATGCACTACAAGAACTACACACACTGATTACCAAATTGTCCACACTGCTCAAAGGGAGCAACTAGCAAATCCTACCTACCGTATGACATATTAGAGCAACTACTTACGCTTCCTAGTACTTACTTTCTTATTAGACCTAGGGAAACTTTAAAGAGGAAGCCATCTTGTCCAATTATTCCCATTCCACTTGATTTTCCACTGCTATCTATACAGACCATCTCTGGTTCCATGTCTTTATTTGCTACAAGGAACTGACCATAAATAAGATCTCCAACCTAAACAAAGCAGTGTCAAAAAGCAAAAGAGAAGATCATACTGTGCATTTGTAACAAATATTGATTATTGATAAAGATCCTCTAGTGAGGCAACAAAATACATTTAAAACAGTGATGATAGAAAAATAAACCGGTATATTACAAATCTTAATTTTCTCTTCTTCTACTAAAGACAGTATCTTCCCTGAACAATTCTCTTGTACCACTACTGGAATTTCTAAGATAAAAGGACAGAATTTTATGAGTTACATAACTCTGTTCTTTTTAAATACGATATACGAAATCCTCTTTCTTCAGACTCTGATGATATTAATAACCTAAGCAACCTGCTCTTGTAATCATATATCAAAACAAAAATATTCACACCCAGCTATTTGTTTTTCTTTACATTTTTCTTCCATTTTGACGTTCTGGTGATGATATTTCATCAGAGCGCAGAAACTGTAGCATGCATGTGCCACACAACTGTTTATAACAGTGTCATCAAAAAAATCAAAACAGACACAAACATTTTATACCAGAATCACAGGGCATAAAAGCTTGCTTTAAGACCTTAACTTCATAGTGCCCCTTTGGATGCACGTTACCCACGAGTTGCATCTGCTAGTGGCAGTATTATGGGAAAATTAAAACGCGAGGGCAAGGAAGCCTATGACCTGACAGAGACCAAACCACACCAGTTACAGTGCTATTAAAGAAACACCTGAAATCCCGCAGCCTAATCGTGCAAAAACCTGCGAGGAGGGCCCAGGCGACATCACTACAAGCAGACCTGCACTCCCCCTTTTACGCGCGGCTTACAAAAACGCTTCTAAACTAAGAGAAGCTACTAAAACGCATCGGAAGCTCCACCGAACGCCACGGCTACAGCATCGCGGCCAGCTCACCAGCTCACCCACCTGCACGTTGGGCCTGTTCCTCTTGGTGGCGCCCTCGAAGGCCAGGTAGGACAGGGAGGCGGGCTCGCTGCCGCCCACGTCCAGCTTGAACACGTCCCCCGCCTTGGCCGTCACGATCCCAATGACGTGGTCACCCTTCACCGGCACGTACTGCAACGGGGCACACACGGGTCAGGGGTTTCACATACACAAACAAACAAACAAAGAGCCAGACATCCCCCGGTCCCCCCGCGCCCTCACCCGCTTCTGCTGCGAGTCCACCCAGTAGGCGCCGGGGCCCGCCGGCCGGTGCCGCAGGAGCCCGCACTTGGTGACCAGCAGCCCGGCCCCGCTCCGCCGCAGCCCCGGCCCGCACAGCAGCCGCCCCGCGGGCGCCGCGCCCGTGCTCAGCCGCAGCCGCTCGCCCTCCGCGTCCTCGCCGTAGTGCGCGGGCAGCAGCAGCAGGTCCCCCGGCAGCACCACCTGCCCCACGCAGGCCTCGGCCGGCCGGCCGCGCTCCCCCGCCATGGCCGCGCCGCCGCGGGGCTGCCTGGGCCGGGCGGCTGCGCTCTGTGTGCGACAGCGACACCGCCCGGCCGGCACCACTCACCGCCCTCGGTCCCGGGACGGGGGGAGCCGGCTGGCTCCCTGCTTCCCACGGAGCTCCATCGCTGCCGCCACCGGCTCCCTGCTTCTCACGGAGCTCCATCGCTCCCGTGCAGCCTTTCCTTCAGGGAAGCAGTGCTTCTGCAGCCTCCCATTTGTGCCTGGGAACCGCTGAGATAATGTGAGCGCCGTTAAGCTTGGGAGTTAATACCCGTCCTGAATTAATTCTTCTAGCTGCTGTTGTTCGCAGCGTTTCTTAATACCTAATTAGAAGTTTGCCAGTAAAGCAAACAACTGGTCAAATTTGAGGTGAATATCAGCCGAGGAAAAAACACCACTCTGCCTTAAAGCTGGAAGTTCAAACTCCATAATAAAGCGTTTATTGAAAAACGCACCCTGTACTCGGCTACCAAGTTCTTCTTCCGTGTTAGCTCAGGTTCCTTTTGCTAAAATCCTAAGAATATTTTCTTCCCTGAACTGCTTTCTAGTCTTTATTTACGTGTCCGCATGCATTTATACACAGATGTGTATAATCCCCGAAATTAACGGAGAAGGATCAGCGCCTTGCCAGTTGATTGCAGACAGGGCTGGGGCGAAGATGTTGTCGGACACCCCCTTCTGTTGTGAGTGGAAACCGGTCACGGAGAGACAGCGTCAAGCGCATCGTTCCAGCTGGGTTTTTCCCTGGGATACACCCCCAGGGACCGCGGGAGGCGCTGTTGCGAGGCTCGCAGCGCTGTTGCGGGGCAACCCCGCGCGTCCGGGCGGTGCCGGAGCGGCTGGGAGGTGGTGGCAGCCCTTGGGCTGGGCCGGGCGGTGGGAGCGGGTCGGGCTAGGGCTGCTGTACCGGGGCTCCGGCGGCTACTGTCGGGGGCAGCAGGAGTAGAGCTACTCTCCGAGGGAAGGAGATGCAAAGAGGTGCCTATACCGCGTCCGAGTAACGCGCCTGCTCCTCCCAGGAAATCCACGCACCAGGCACAGGGATAAGCAGCAGACCCGCCCTGCCTGTAGTGTAGGGGAAAGGCGGAGGCCCCGCCGGTGTTTAAACAGAGCCCGGGGGCGGAGGGCGTGGGTGGCGGTGCAGGTGAAAAGGGGCGGGATAATCCAGGTGTGTTTGTGTTCGCCGGTTCTCGCTGCTCGACCTGGGCTCGGCTGCCTCAGGAGCCGCCGTACAGGCAGAGGGTGGGGTGGAATTTACGCCTTTGCCACCGTGCCTAGGGCAGTGCCAAGAGCCTGGGCTCTCTGCCCCACCAGGGCTGTGCCAAAGGGTTTGAGCGCCCTTGGCAGAAAATGAAATGTCGCGTTTGCTGAAACAGGACGAGTAAAACCTCGTGTGTGCTCACAGGATGGTGCCTTTCATGACTATATAGATTAGTTGCTTCAGATCCTGGTCTTGCATATATACCTTAAAGGCAACTATGTTAGTTCAAACTAAAATCTACCCTTAATCATTCACAGTACTTCACGGTTCTTAGAAGCTTTATATACAGATATTCAGTGTCCTGTTGTGCTTTTGAGGTTTTTTTTTTTTTTTTGCTATCATGTAGACCTAGAATTACTAACATATTTCTAAGTAGTTTGTGAAATATACATATCTAAACAATAAGAGGAGGAGTTGAACTGTTTTTCTGCAGTGACTGGTGTAACTGACCTATCACTGGAGCTTATATATAACTAAACCAATACTAAATTTAAGTAACTTTCTTAAGTAACTTTCTTGTATGAATTGTAAGGTTCATAAAAAGTAATGTCATATTCAGAGTTAACTGTCTGAGACAACAATTTTTTTAACACCCCTAATTTAATTCTGTTATTGATGGTTAATATCTGTCTGTTTCTTGTTAGTAGGTTTGGATGGAGTCTCAGTATCTAAAGCAATGCCTGGGAGATTGCTTGAAAAAGGGACTGGCAGAGGTTGTGGAGCATCGGCCAGCAGATCCAATAGAGTATCTTGCACACTGGATTTACAGTTACAGAAGAAACTTAGATGAAGAAAAAAAGGTGGATTCAACTTAGGCAAAAAAAAAATCATTACAATATAATTGATGTAATATATCTCTCTTTTTAAAAATTGCTTCTATGTTATCTCTGAAATAGAGAATGTTGGAGAGGGCTGAACTGGAACAAGAACGGCAGGCAGCACTAGCAGAGCTTGAAATATTAAGAAAAAGGGAGGAAGAAGCAATGATCCAGCAGAAACTTGAAGAACAACGTCAGGTTAATAATACTTAATAATACATAGCTCTAAATAGCATATGGTGCTGTGGCATCTTGTAGTTCTTTCTGTACTTCCAATCTATAATGATTTTGATAAAGTTGGCATAAAACAAAAATTTTAATATCACTTTTCTGAATAACTAAAATTATTAGTCATTAGGGTAGGAAAGCTTACTATGCAGTAAAATGTTATTAAAAATGAAGACACTTCAGGTGTAAAGAAACCAGTATAAGACTTACATAAGAAGTAGCTGAAAATAAGTAGACTATCCTCTATATTTAATTATGAGTAAGAGCTGGTACATATAAAGCTAAAAATCATTGCAAAAATGCGAAGAGATCTGAGAGCAATAACTAATCATTGTCTCAAGCTGCTTCAGTGTAGCATCAGTAATGCAAAAAAAGTTGATGAGAATGTATACACAATTAGAGAGTCCTGAAAATGGCTGGGAATCAATGAATGAAGATTGCTTATTTAAGCAGTATGTTTAACCTGATGCAGTGAGGTGCCTTCTTCTTTCTTTAGCTACCTGAGCTTTCTGTTGGCATAAAGTAATTAAAATACTATGCTGTCTGGACTTAGGAGAAATAAATATAACATCTCTGTTTGTAGCTATTCTTTGTAAAGGAGTCGTGTGAACTTGATAACACATGTAAAACCTCAGTGTTGTGGTGGTGGTGTTGACTTGATCTGATTCGGTATTTTTCCGTGGCTGACATTCACAATGTTAAAAGTATAACTTTGAATTTGTGCTGCTCACATTATGCCCAGTTCCAGGGTAAGATGCATTCATTCTATTTTGCCTGCAATTTTTAAATTTGGGATTTCCTAATTTGCAGGCCAGAAGTTACATACTGAAGGATTTAATGAGTGTTTTAAAATAGTAAATAGAAATAAGAATATAAGATTGTGTCTAGAGATATTTCACAGAGAATTAAATAAATAATTTAATATATATTATGGAAAAAATATTTAACAATACTCACTTTAGATGCATTTTTTTAATCTAACAACTTTGTCTGTAGTCAAATACTCAGGCAAATTTTGATTTTACATACCAAAAAGGAACATGAAAACTAGTTACAATAATATGACCATATTTGTTATATCTGTTCACAAAATGCAAGAGCAAACAGTATTCTCTAGTGCTGTTGAATATAAATACTTAGATTATGAAGTTTCTGAAGTTTTGATGCAATAGGATTTATGCTTACAAATAATAAACGCTTTCTATTAGATGTTTCCAATTGAAAATACTAAAGGTTTCTGATGGACATGATTAATGTTAATGACATTACTTACCAGTCTCTTCTATAGATCTGATACTATATTGATTTATCCATCTGTGCTAGATGCTTTACAAAGTACTAAAGAGCTTAATCCAAAGTATAGGAGATAACTAACATAGACTGATAAAGAGCATGTGGAATGAGACAGCATCCAAAATGTGTACACTAACTTCGGTGAACTATCTCCTTCCTCTTGGTAGTAAAGCCTTGTTCTCCATGAGAGCCTAAAACTTCTGAAACTCTTGAGCCAGACTTTCTGAAAGGACTTTCTTACTAACATTGCAGTTAGGTTTTATGCTTCCTTTTTGTTTTATTTGCAATTTCAGTTATAAAATGCATTGTAAGCAATGTAGTGGAAATATGAATGTGGTTTTTTTCTTTTTAATTTATCCTTTCTTAAACTGACTTCAGGCTGAGTTGGAGAAAGAACGTGAGAAGATGGAACTACAGAGTAAAGAAGAAAACATGCAGTTGCAGCAGGAAGATCAAAAGGTTTAAGCCAAAGCTTAGTTGGTAGTTTGAAAATACCATGAATCAGCCATCTTTTCTGGATGCAGGCATCAATTACGGAAACACATGGCAGAAGCTCATGAGTTTTGAATTAACATATAATTTATAAAAAAAATGTAAATGGGGGAAAATGTCTAATACCTTGTTTTTACAGTCTGGATTTTTTTCCTGAACTTTGGTCTGTTCTATTTGGTTAATTAGTATATATTCAGAGCAGAGCATAAATTTATTGCAAAATTTAATATAGGGCCATTTAAGCTGATGCTTCCACATTCCTTCATGGCATTTATGAGAAAGTTATAACAACATAAGCACATCTAACTTAAGTATTGAGACAGTAATGCTTTACAGAGTGTATGTGTAAAGTCCATTTGTTGTACCTAGAAAAGGAACTGTGGTTTGGCATTGTGATGTCTCTTGATTCTGAGATCTTCCTGGTGCATGGGAATTTATACTAACAGAAGAGTGTGTAAACAGATGTCTGAGTCTTTTAATCCGGTCTTTTAATGCTACTTCAGTAAAAACATAGACTGATAATTGACATGTTTATCTCAATAAAGCTTTTAAATGTGAATATCTCTTAAATTTATGTGGAGCACATAATATTTTAGAAGTACCTAAGTTTTTAGTGCGCTCTGTTAAAATACTGCCAGAACATAACTGTAGAAAGACGAGCGCATGAAAGTGACAGAAAAAAAGAATATATAGAAATTTGAACTAAAATTACTGTTATTAAAAAAAGTAAAAATAATTTTAAGCATACAAAGACCATATTCACATACTAACAAATTTAGTAGTACTTACCTAAAGTGTTTTCCTTATATTGATACATCATATCTCTTTAACATAAAATATTCTCTGTAGATTTCATGACATGGAACATTTTTAACTGAAAACTGGTTTTCATTACCATAGGAAGATGAAAAGACAGTATCTGAGCTTACAGATAGACCTGGAACACCTGATTTGACCAAAACTGAGGAGGAGCCAGATCAGAGTGGACAGCCTGAGGTAAGTGTTTAGAAAGAGATTACAAACTAATGATTCTCACAGATTTGCTTTTCTGTGCTGACCTATCAAAGGTTTAAACTGTTATTGTTTCTCTCCAATGGCTTTAAGGGATGGTATTTTGACCACAACCTCCAAACTGCCCATAGCCTGTTCTCTAGAACAAGTTAAGCCATTCTAAGTTTTTAATTCCTTTTATATTTCACAGTCCAAGGAAATGAGAGAACATGAATCAGCCTTCATTTAAAGCAAGGCAAGGCAGTGCTTTTAACAGATGATGCCAACTCCTGCAAAATCACTCAACTTTGAATATTCATTGGTCATAAAGATACTGATACCTGTCCAACATTTTCCAGTTAGAGTATTCCGAGTGTGATAACTTGAGCTTGATATACTAGTTTTAGTACATCATTAGCAGAAAGCTTTTTCCTTTATTGACTTTAATAGTTTGCTCACTTTATTTCTGGTCTCAGTAGTGTAATTCTAGCTCAAAATTTATAGTGATATTAATGTGCTTTATGCTAAATCTACTTTAATAGCAGCCTGTTTTATGAATGTTCTCTAAATATATTGTTAACATACTTATGACTATTCTTATGGTCAGGTTTTCACAGGTGTTTTATCCACTAGGGTAAATCAGATGAATTCTTAATATCTCATATAGCCCCAATTTTTCTAATTTTCTGATAATTGCATATGAAAATTATTCTTGAGGCTTCAGGCATATTTTATGTGTTCTTAAACAAGCAAATTGCAAAACCAGAAGTGAAAATAACTAGTAAATGTACCTGCTGCTTTTTACATGTGCATCTTCCAAGTTTTCATGCATAAAGTTGTTTAAAGTTAGATTACATTTGCCTTTGGTAATGTTGAGGTTTTACAGTTATATGTTTGTTGAATTAACCTAAAAGTTAAGAACAGTCAATAAAATAAAATATATAGACCTTTACTTTTGAAACAATTCTGCCCTCAGAATCACAATGCTTCATCCAGATTCGCTGGATTTTATAATGAGTCTGGTGATAACATTCATTGTATTCCACTGAATGAAAGAATACATTATTATACCGATGAGTACCAACATGTCTATCATGTGCAGTTTTTTCCTGTTTTTCTTTTTACAAAGTGCAGTAAATTCTGGTAAGTGATAGAATTTTTTTGTTGTTTTTTAGAGTACAACAGATCTCCCAGCAGAAGCAGAAGAAAGTTCCGAACTGACCTGAAAGCAGTAAATATATTTTCTCCTCATTACTTGCTTATCCTGAAGTGTAGTATCTTGATTTATGTATTTTATACATAGAAGTGATTTATATACCTGTTGTTTCAGTGTTTTTGTTTTCAGGGTGTTTGTGTAAAGTCTGTTAATTCTGGGATTGATTCTTCCTTTTTGTTCTTAAACCATTGTAGGTAGCATGTCTGACTTGGAAGAAGAAAACTGCAATTGAAATGAGAGCAGCAAATAGATTTTCTGTGTATTGCACATTGATACTTCAATTGTAACCATAATAAATACAGACAAAATTAATGTGTTAGTATTATTTGAGGGTAGATGCTACAGTACTATAATTTGAATCAATATCAAAAGAAATATTTTTGAAAAGAGATTTTTCAAGAATTTGAATGGTTTCTGATAGAAAAAGGAAATGCTCCACAGATTAGAAGATGAAGAGAGAGTTCTGCACATCAAACTAGATGTAAAAATCTAATCAGAAGATTTTTCCAACGTATTTGGAAGAGATCAGTTTATCTGCACCTCAGTTGACAGACATACTAGAAGATCTTCTCTTAGAAATTATTAGGTGATTTTTGTAGATCTGGGTGCTTGCTCTTGGCTTTATAATAACCTTTACTGCGTATTGTGTGATCCTAGGTGAGCTGCGTCTGCATATCGGTTTTGGTTAGTCAATTTTTTAAATCTTTTTTTTGCATTTGTCTTGAATTTGTAAATCAACAAGTGAAACCTATGTTGTCTTTACTAAATACCATTATTATTTCTCAAAGCTTCACTTCTAAAGAGATTAAGAACAATATTTAACTTGATCCATAGTTATCTATAAAAATAAGTTTTATAATCCTTAGAGATGCATTAATTTTTATAAGAACAGATGTCTGTGATCACTGATATTTTGGTAGAGGACGTCATTATAAATGAATTAATTATAAATGAAAAAGACATCAGCATTAAGAAATCCTTCAATAAAATGTGCCTTTATGTCTCAGTGTCTTCTAATACAGGTTATTTGGATAATTAACATTAAGTCATTGCCAATATTGTATAATGAAAATATCTTTTATTACAAATTCAGTCTGTAATTAATGCATTCACAGTATTCTTCAGTTCTGGGATGAAATAGATTTTTGTGTTAATTTCACTTTAATTCTTTTATATTATTGCTGGCTGTAAGGGTTTTGCTATCTTTGACAAACTTAAAAAAATATATACTACACAGGCAAAGGTCAATTGCATAATTATTTTTTTGCTCTGCATAACTTTTGTTCATGTAGGTCATACTAAGCATAATTCTCTCTGTTTTTAAAAATGTAAGCACTAATGACTTTTAGTATAGTAGTATATTATTTTCCCCCTAAAAAATGAAATATACATTCTTTAAAATTTCTTGTGCCCTTTTTTATTACTCCATTGCTTTTTGAGTGCTTTTAACTAGCATGTCTTACATGAATAACCTTAAAATCAAAAGAGAAAAGTGTCACTCTGCCAGGTTTAAATACTTAGAAATGTTTATATAACCTTTGAATTAATGAAAAATGGAACTGCTTTTGTGACTAGGTGGTCAGGCTTTCTATCTACATTTAATCTGCATTGGTATAGGTTTGAAATCTCTGTGATAGTCAAGAACCTTTTTGGTGGCATGAATATGCCCTTATGGTTGACACTGATTTTGTGGTAAACTGATTTTGTCACAGTTTATGATTATACTATTTTAACTGCTACTAATAAATATAATTTTAAGGACCTGCTTTAAGATACTGCAGTTCTAATTACATCTGTTAACACTGTAGGCACAGCAGCTTCCTGTGCCAGTTTCAAAGGGATGGAGTAATTGGATAAATAGATGGAGGTTCTCTTATGAGCCAGTATGTATAACTGTGCCTTCCACTTTAGAGTAAAATTTTTAAGAATTGGTAAGTACCTCATGTCCATTTACATTTTATGTCCAATCATGTTGACTACAAAAATTTCAGCCTTCATACAGCCTTCAAATTCAAGACAGTGTTTTAAAACATGCTAAGAAATAATTTTAATAACATGTGCCCTTCATGTTTTTTTTAATCTTTTCATAGTATTTGTATCTTTGTTTGATTTTTGTTATATGTGTCCACTAGAGTGCATCCTAAATAAGCACACTGGAGGCTCTGTCAGTTACAGACCATGAAAACTGCAACTAATGTTTGTCATTTTGTTTATTTTTAACTGACTTTTTCTTTGTAATCCTGCAGTACATATTCCCCATTTTTCTTTCAAAATAGGAATTGAATTTTTGGATGGAAACTCTATCAGAAAATGTTTTAGTAAGGGTCAAAATAAAATGGTAGATTCCAATTTACCTGTTCCTTTGCTGTTATGTACAGAAGGTATTGTTCAAATGTTATTTGTAGGAATTCCCGTTTCTTCAAGATTTTATGTGCATAGACATAGTGCATTATTCACCTTCTGCAGCTTTATAGGAATTTCATTATGGGACAAGAGGGTAGACAGTTCTTGGCTCAGTGCTTTCTTGAGGTGCAAACTAGCCTGTAGGTAACTTGGAAATGTAGTTCATGACAAAGATGGCTTCTGCTTGGGTGTCTAAACCTGAAGGGAAAACTAAGGCAGCTTAAAATAATTTTTGCCTGCTCTTTCTGATCTTTCACCTTCTCTGGAGTTTAGCAAGCTAGAGCCTGGAGCAGGAAGAGAACAGGGGAGAAGATAACTATTCTAGTTACTTCACATGATGTGATTTCAGAAGTGTTAATAGAGTTTAACCTCTGCATGAAATCTAAAGTTGTATATTGAATAAAAAGAAGGCAATTACCTAATGTAACTTCTTCTATAGCTTCCTTTGAATACATTTTTGTGGAATGAAGAAGATGGTGTTCAGAGGCACATGATAGAAACTGTCATGGAAAAATAAGGTGCTAAATACTGAATAAGATTTATGAAATTGTCATTTTTCCTTTCTTCAGAATAAGAACAGTCTTATTCAAGCTGCTATCAGACCATGTACAGATCCCTCTCAGAATGTGCAGATAGTAATGTGCCCATTCACAGCTGTTCCCATTCCAACAATACTGAAGCATAAGGATGAAAACAGATATGAAGCCCAGAATAGGACAAAATGATTCAGATTAATTATCAGTCTGCTCACAAGGATGGTAGCTCAACTCTGCAATGTAAGAAAGGAGAAATACGTGTTGCAGCTAGCACATATTAACGTTATCTTTTAACAGAATGGACTTTATTAGGTTTCCTGCCCCCTTTCTTATGATGGATGGTTTTCACAGTCTAAAGGAACTAACTTATCTTTTTGTAAGCAAAAGCCTTATACAGTAATTTGCTAATGGGAATGGGAGCCAGATGAATTGCTTTGGATTAAGTGTAAAATTAAGTTCCTCTGAACTTTGCTAATACAGTTTACTCACATTTGAAGTCAACTATTAACAACTGTACTTCTGTGAAGTTTTTCCTGTACTTAGGTTAGAAAAAGAACAGCGTTGTCTATTGACTACAGCTAGAAAAGAGATTCTAAACCTGTTGTTTGCTGATAAGGACTGATGTACTTATTTTAAAATATCTTAACAGTACACTTGTTTGCTTTTTTGGTTTTGTATTTGTGGTGGGGGTTTTGGGTGATTTTGATTTTCTTTGGTATTTTTTACTTTGTTTTGGGGAGGGTTCTGTTTGGTTTTTGGGGGGGTTCAAAAACTTTTGTTTGTTTTCTAGCACTGACATTATAATCCTTCATGCAATCATTGTGCTTTATACTTGTGTATTTGTTATAACTAATATAATGGAAGAAGTTATACTATTATAAACATTTACATAAACATATATATAGGCCAACATTTATTGGTCTAATAGAGAAAGGGATAAAGGCCAGGTAGAGGACAGTGCCATTTAACTGAGCTGTCACAGTGTAGCAAACTTTTTAAGAAGTTAAGCAGAAGACTCACTGCTGGAATTTGAGAGTTCTCAGATGTGTATATATAACTTAAATGCTGTGGATCTTCCCTGCTAATCTGCACCTCATAGAATCATTCTAATTAACCAAAATCAGTGTTTAACTTGGATCAGATATCAGAATTCTTGTAATCTATGCTATGTTGTATTTGAAATAAATTAGAAGGTGCTACATCATGAAAAATTAGGTTCATTAGGGCCTGTGTGAAGATACTGAGTGTTTCCATTTTATCTTTAGTTGTAGGTCATCCAGAATCAATGGCCAGAAATTGAAATGATTTTATTATTAATATCAGGCATGCTTGTATTATCACCTGAAAGTAAATCCAAGGCATACAGTCAAGTAATATACTAAGCAGAGAAGTTACCATTTGCTTCTTGATTAATCTTACTTACCTGTCACAAAGGCTGTATTGATGTCTCTGTACTGATAAGAAATATATACCTCACTAAATATCCAAATTTTCCGCATTAGTTAGCGTCTGGTGTAATTTAAAATTTGTGTGCTTTAAATGATGATGTGAAGCTTGGGCTTGATTTAGAAAAAGAAATTGATATTTAGGCATATCATGCCACAGTTATCTGGATAATCTTAGCCTCTCAAAGGAGTATTTAGAAGGTTTAGGAATCTTTTAATGAACTCTCTGAGGAGCTTCTGCTACTTTCTGCATGTTGTCATTCATGAATTTTAACAGAAGTTGCTATCATAAAAGTTTTGGGGCTTTTTTCCTCACAATCTTGGGAAAAGTGAAAAATGTGACTTCAGTTTGATGCAAGAGCCCACTGGTGTTTGAGTTCAGCAAATTGTTTTTTGGAAAAAAGAAATTATTTTATTCAGTGGCTCCTCTATAATTTAGACAGTGTCTAGCAGATTCCAGATAAAGAAATTGGTTTTTCCTATGGGAGGAGGATGAAGTATGTTTGAACTTGATTAGTATTTTGATTAGACTGGTTTTTGTAATGAACTGAATCATATTTTCAGCTCTATTATAAAGCTAATTGTTGTTTTGCTTAAAAAAAAAAATTGAGGTAAACCATTTTTGGTATAATGAGGAATTAGTCTTCCAAGGACTTCAGTCTTCTTATTGAAGTTGCTGAAAAAGCTGTGGTTGAAATTACTAGAGGACTGAGCTCTGAACTAACATGAACATGAGTTCTACCTTGAGAAACCATCTCCAAGTTATTAAATTTTTAATATACTTCATAGTAAAACATGAGATAATTGATTGACTCAAACTACATTCAGGGAAGATACTGCAGAAATAGAAAGAGATGAATTATTGTGGGGAGGATTGGAGAGAGAAAACATTCATACAATATATTATTCCAATTCCAGCAAAGGGGCACTGCAGCTCCCTTTTGCTCAGTTTCAAGTCACATTCCTGGGAGTGTGTTGGGCTTCTCCAATCATCCTGCTTAATTTCTACTCCACCTCTTGGATGTACTTTCTTCCAGAAATGACTGGCTGCATGTGGACACACCTGTATTTGGTTCATTATTATCTTAAGCAATTGCGGTTTTGCCACTGATGTGTTGAGCAGATAAGTTTAAAAAATGCTATTTATTTAGCCGATAATTGTAATCCTGGAAACAGGATCTGTTGTTTGTTTCATTGTAAGCCGAGCTGCACTGAAAAGTTACCCTTAGGCACTGACAGCTGAAAATTTCTAGGGCTGGGAGTGCAGTGAAGTTCTGAGACAGCTGTTCTTCAACACTTTTTCAGTGGGCATATGTATCTAAGTGGAGCCTATAGTAAACATGCAGCACTGGGTTTTTTTCTCATTTGGACTTGGGTTAAGTTTTATTGTATTTACTTGTATTTGAAACCTGTGGAGTCAGGTTTGAACTGTACAAGAACTGTCACTGATCATGTACTAGAATGCTATATGGAAACACTAAATGTTCTCTTATCTCAAAAGATCATGTTTTTGTAGACACTGATCTCTAAATATCTTTAGGATAAATGGTTTTGCCACTGCTCAGATGTAGGCAATTGTTATCTCACATGTATTTTTCCCCTTACCCTTATGTGACTTTTCTAGCTTTTTTTAAAACTATCACTTGGAAACAGCATAGTTATGATATGTGAATCTGTCTTAGAATTTGCCCAGGCTTTGCTGGGCACAAAAAATCAGGAGAATACAGCCAGACCTATATATTTCTATGTATTTGTCCCGTCTCTTGACATAGAGTACTATAAAGGTAGGTTTCTTGGTTTTTTGTTGTTGTTGTTGGGTTGGGTTGGTTTGGGTTTTTTTTGGTTTGTTTGTTTGTTTTTGTGTTTTTTTGGTGCAGTTTCTTCAAATGTCTTTCCAGCAGCTATGACTCTCTCACTATTCTGTGACTGCAAGAAAGTTTCCAGTTGTATGTGTGGTATCCTTACGTAGCTGGCGGCAATACACCAATATTCTTCACACTTGTTTAAATCAAAGAACCATTTAACCTTTAGAAAAAGATGGATTGACTCTGAATTTTGCTTTGTTTGGTAGGATAAGTAAATTCCTAGTGTTAAGTAAGATAAATTTTTATTGTTTACAATATTTCAATGTTATACACACTGTAAAAATAAGACCTGCAGCTTTGGATAGAGTCGGATATTTGTAAAATCAAAATTTAGAAAAGAATTTCATATTCTAGTTTTCTGTCTGTGGAAAAATTGCTTTAGTGACTGAGGAGATCAGGTCTGTGCTCACTGAATGTGCTGGCAGGATTGGTAAAACATTCATGCCAACCATGTGGGAATATCTGTATTAGTCTTAAAAATAATTACACTTTGAAATAACCTTGACCTTGCTTCTTAAGACTTACAGAATCCTCCTGGCATGTGTTATGGCACTGCAGAGGTAGAGAGTTAACAAAATAGAACTGATTACCCAAAACCTGTAAATGCCTTGTTCTCTGACTCTTTCTGTTGGGATGCTAAGCCATTGGTATCATTTGGGAAGAATTTAACAATAAACTGCAGTATAAACTTTCCATTACTTTTCTCATTAGCCAAGATTTAAGAAGACCCGGGAAAAAGGTTGTCTTGGAGGAACTAGTGTGTACTAGGTGCCAATTTCAATACTAATTTTCAAAAGCAGAAAATGGGATCTTTCACTTCACTGTCCAAACCTTCTAATATGTGTGAGTCAAATACTTTTTCTTAGAGTTGATAGGAATAGTTCATAGGGTTTGGTTATGGCAGGTCTGCTCTGTTCTCAGTTTTCTGGCTGACTTCTTATCAAACTGTTGAGAGGCCAAAGGCAACACTGGTGTTTAATTACAAGCAACACGGATTGTGGACATAAGAAAGAAGCAGTAGCAGGAAGCCTGTAAGCTGTCAGCCTCAGAAGCAGGAAAGAGTCTTCTGCCTAGAAAAAGAATTGATGATTGATATGAATGTAGGAAACTAAGGTGCTCCTTAAATTGATTTGTAGGAAAACCTAGAAGAGGGGGAAAAAAAGAAAAAGAGCCAAAAAGGGGTGAGAAAATATTGAAGAAGAAAGACATATGCTTTAAGAGCAACTCTTGCACATGTTTAGCTATGTGCTACCTGTGGGTAGCCAATATACCTATGTAGGGTAGGGTTTAAAATGGTAAAGAGAATAGTTAATAGTTCTGGCCTTCTCTTTGCCTAGTAGAGCAAGCTGCAGACTTCAGTTTCCTCTTAAAGGACTAAAACTGGTTTGGCTTTCTTGAGATGACCTAGTGTTGCTGGTTCTTTTGCTAGAGTACTGTGATTTCTGCATAACTTGAAAGCTCTGCATTGCAAAAATGAAAAAAAATATTGATCTTAAATTATTGATCTTAAACATTAAGAAAAAAATTTTGAAATTTATAGTCAGAATTCAGGAGGGTTGGTTTGTTTGGGGGTTTTTGTTGGTTTTGTTTGTTTTGGTTTTTGTTGGTTTTGTTTGATTTTGTTTTGGGAGTTTGATTTTGTTTGTTTTGGTTCCTGGTGTTTGTTTTTGCGGTTTTTTGGGGGTTTTTTTTGTTAATTTGAGTCACTCTTGCATGTTTCAGTGCAACAGGTGAGTTGTGACATTCTTGGTCCTGATATTTCTCATTGCTAAAAGTGTTCTTCTTGCTAAGGGTTGAAGCAAGATCATTACACCTCACAAGTGCTGAGCTTTTTAGTTTGTTTCAGGGCAAAGGGCTTGGTGGGAAAAAAGAGAAGAGTATCGTAATGAAACTGTGAGATGGCAACTATGTCTATAAGCCTGAAGATCTTTTGGTGAGATCCATTTTCTACTCTGTATTTCATCTATGAATGGGAGACAAAAAATGTTGGTCTGTTCTGGTTGCTATATGAATTTTTGTATAGTACCATTTTTTATACTTGTGTTGGTTGATGCTACATATCCTTCATCCATTATCTAATGTCCCCCATTTAAACAGATATCTAAGAATATTTTTGGCTGTGTTTTA